TTTTTTGGGACAGGCATTTTGGGTTTTCATGAGCTGTATGCCATAATCATCAGTATTAAAACAATTAAAGACCTGAAATATTTCAGTTGGTGTGCAATGAATCTGAAATATATGAAAGTTTCATTTTTATCATTACATTATGGAAAATAATGACCTTTATCACAATATGCTAATTTTTTGGGAAGGACCTGTACATGGGCGCCTGGTTCTTGAGTGACGGCCGAATGGACCGGGAGATTGATCAGGGAATCTTCCTCAGTAATGTGGGCGTTGCTTCAGTCTGCCATGGTGAAAGACAGTTGGGTCAAAAGGCAAAGCTATGGATTTACTGGTCCGTTCCAAACCTCACATATGGTCATGACATTTGAGTTATCACTGAAAGATCAAAAATGTAATCCAAGCATTGGAAATTAGTTATTTTTTTTTATAGGGTGGTCGGGCTCAGCCTTAAAAAGAGAGGCTGAATGAGGAAGATCTGTTGCTCATCTGCACAAACGAGGTGAATCTCAAAGAGTGATGAGCTAAAAACACCCAGTAGAAGCAGCTGCATCTCTCGGGCCCTCTGTGTGACTTGTTTGTTTTTACCGTTTCCTGAAGACAGGACTTTCAGAATCTGTTCATCTATTGTTTGTGTTTTATAAAGTCCGACACTTTTAGTCCATTAGACTTTTAAACACACCGACCAATGTGTTGTCATGGCCACCAAGTGTAATTAAAAGTAATGAGTCAAAAAGCAGGTAAAGTTCAATATAAACGAATAATTAATCATTAAAAGGCCAGGACTACATTAAAATTGGTTCTTTGAAAGCAAAATGTAAAAAAAAAAAAAAAAGAGAGTTTTAAACTTTTGCACAGAACTATAAACCCAAAATAACTCCCACAGCCAATAGACATTGTAAAAAAAAATCAACCCGGTGTGTAAATAAAAAGGATTTACTTAAAAACTTCATGAAAACACATCTATTTTATGAGTGAATAGAGTTCAAACAAAACCACGTGACCGATTAAACAAACAAAAACCAAGCCCACATCCAGAGGCAAAGGCTCACACACCTGCTGATCCAGTAGCTTGTAGAACCAGAACCAACAAAACTCCTTTGTAACCAGGATGAGTCGACGGTTCTCATGGGGTTTTGTTAATGAAGACAATAAAACATGTCTGGATCCATGGCTCTTTCAAGTTTGGACAACGTTTTAACTTTACGTTATAAAATACAGTTGAAGATATTTGGGATGAATTAGTAAAACTGTGGATAAAAGTTACACTTTCATCTCAAACCACCGACACGCTGCAGTGAAACAAAGCGTCTGGGTGGTGTCACTCGGAGGTTTTGTGCGTCTTACCTTCTTCCCAGAATTGCCATGACGAGTTCTGCTGGTTCTTTGATGTGCAGCTTCTGGATCAGCTTCTTCAGACTGAACTCACTCTGTTTTTTATCCACCGCTGCTCGGTCGCCATCGCTCTGCAGCTGCACAAAAACCTGCCGTTAGTCCGAGTTTCAACGGCAGCAAGAAATCAAGAAGGAACACAAATCTTCTAAACTGCAGTGAGAACGCCCGCGACAAGAACGACCCGATGGACCTTCAGAACCCAAAACTGAACATTAACTGTTAAAAATGAGCAGAGCAGAACTGAAATGACCAAACCACAGCTAAAAAAACTAATCTGTAGCGAAAACATAAAAAAGATAAACTGTAGCTAAAACATAAAAAAGAAAACATTGTAGCAGAAAGATAAAAAGTTGTAAAACTGTAGCTGAAAGCTTTAAAAAATAAAATCGTAGCTGAAAGCTCAAAAGAAGCAAAACAGTAGCTAAAAGCTTTAAAAAATAAAATCGTAGCTGAAAGCTAACACAAAGAAAAGCCATAGATAAAAGCTAAAAGAAAGTACAACTGTAGCTGAATGCTAAAAAGTAAAACCATAACTAAAACTTTAAAAAAGGATAAGCCTAAAAGCTAAAAGCTAACATAACCAAAATTAGCTTAAAGCAATAAAGGAGGAAAAAGGTAGCTAAACGCATATATGACATACAAATACAATTAAATACATATAAAAATAATACATATAAAATACAATTTAAAGAAAATCTTGTCCAAAAGTAAAAAATAAATATATATGAGAATGAGCAAAACATAAAAAAGATAGCTAATAACTATTAAATGCTAAACTGTTGCTTAAAGCTAAATAAAAAAAAAACAAGTTAAACACTAAACTTAGTAATACAGTAGCTAAACACTATAAAAAAAACCTAAACTGTGCTAATGCTAAATTTTTGCTAAAAACAAAACAAAAAAAACTGCTAGAGCAAAGTTTAACACTTAAGAGCAAGACTAGATATTTAGCTAAAAGCTAAAAATGCTAAACTGTTGCTGAACGCTAAAAAATGTTTCAACAAAGTTAAAAACTAAACAACGAGACAGAAGTTGAGTTTAAAAAAATGCTGAAATGTTGCTAAAAGCTAAAAAATTAGGTAAACACTAAAATTAGTGAGACGGTAGCTAAAAGCTAAAAATGCTAAACTATTGCTAAAAGATTTTTAAAAAATGCTAAACCAAAGTTAAACACTAAACTTAGAAAGACAGTAGCTCAAAGCTAAAAATAGCTAAACTGGTGCTGAAAGCTAAAAAAGGTTTCAAAGTTTAACACTAAACAGTAAGACAGTAGCTAAAAGCTAAAAATGCTAAACTGTTGCTAAAAGCTAAAAAAAATAAAATATGCTAAACCAAAGTTAAACACTACAATTAGCAAGACAAGTAGCTAAAAGGAGAATGAGAGGAAAAAACACATAGCCGACTGAAATTTCATAAAACAGCTTTTTTTAAAGAATTGGAGAAAAATGTTCAGTGAGGAAAGTATCTAAATAAAGTTCAACAATTCAAAAAGACCAAAAGTCACAAATACTAAAAATCAGCGCACACATTTTCCCATCGCGCTGGATGTTCGAATAGTTAAATTAATGGAAGGTACGCAGAAACACTTTGATTGCAAAAAGGCAAATAAGAAGCTGCAAACAGGAAAACAAACGTATGAATGCTGACTCAGCATCCAGACAATAAAACTGATTTTTATCATTTTTAGCTGTTTGGGACAAATTTATTGAAATGTTGCAGTTTATGTTGGGTGGATATTTTCATAAGAAACCAAGTTGGGTGTAAAGATTCAGAAAAAGTTCCCAACCTCATTATATTTAGGAAAAGCTTGGTACTTCAACGCGAGTCAAAGAATAAACGTTCAGAAACATCCTCAGCTGTAAATATTTAAAATAAATTAGTGACGTACCAACTTCTCCAGATGCGACGGGTCAGCTCTGAGCAGGTTGGCCCACTGTTGGAGCTGAGCTTCAGTGTGTTTCTGGAAATCACAAATTATACATTCAGAACAAAACGCAGACCCATTCAAGGATACATATGACAATGGAGGAACACAAAATAAGCTAAATGCATTAAGTAAACAGCCATACCTTTCCTTTCGGCTTCTTGCGGCTGTGTTTACAGCGGTGTTTGCGTGTGTTGTATTTGGCCAGCTGATACTCGCTGAATTCCTTGAACTTGTCAACCATCGCCTTCTTGAGACACGCCGGCAGAGAGCGGCTGAAGCACTGCAGGAAGAAAATCATTCACTCTGAGCTGAAAACTGCAGCTACTTCCTGTAAAACACGAGCTAAAGAAAACCTACGGTGCTGTAGATTCGGACCACCTCCAACCAGTCGGACGGCAGCTGGACCGCGGCGCAGAAATATCTGCGGACATGTGGCTTGGTGGACGGCAAGCTGGCAGCCAGAGCCACCAGGAAGTTAGCTGTGATCCGGATGTTCAGCTCTTGTCTGGTGTAAACGGCAACCTGGATCAGAAACAGAAACCAGAACTTAACCAGAGAAACCAGCGTGAATGCCGAAGACTGTGCTGCAACGTGATGAAGAAGCTGAAACCGAGCGGCTAAAGTCAAAAATTATAACTGTACCTGAAAATAGGTAAAAGAACCAAAACACAGGCTAACAAAAGCTAACGGCAAGCTAAAAATATCAAAACCCAAGCTAAAAGCTAAAAGAAGCAACACGCAAGCAAAAAGCTACAGGAAGCAGCACGCAAGCTAAAAGCTACAAGAAACAGCACACAAGCTAAAAGCTACAAGAAGCAGCACGCAAGCTAAAAGCTACAAGAAGCAGCACGCAAGCTAAAAGCTACAGGAAACAAAATGCAAACTAAAAGCTACAAGAAGGTAAATGCAAGCTATAAGCTACAAGAAGGTAAATGCAAGCTATAAGCTAAAAGAAGCAAAATGCAAGCTATAAGCTAAAAGAAGCAAAATGCAAGCCAAAAGCCAAAAAAGCAAAATACTCACTGAAAAGAAAAAAAAAAAGGCAAAATGCAAGCTAAAAAGGTAAAACAAAATAAAAAAAATTAAAAAGATAAAGAGGCTTAAGTCCAGATGAAAAAAACATGAGCAGCAAAACCAGGCTAAAAGTTAAATGCTAGCTGCCAGCTTCAAAAAGCTAAACACAAGCAAAAGGCTAAATTACACAAAGGCTAAAAAGAAGCAAAAAACAAGCTTAATGATTAAAAAAGGAAAACAAGCTTAAAGCTAAAAAAAAGCTTAATTTTAGCTGTAAATACAAAAGTAGCAGCATCAAGCTAAATGCTAAAAGAAGCAAAATGCAAGCAAAAAGGTAAAGGAAGCAAAAGGCAAGCTAAAAGGATCAAAACCTAAAGAAGATTAAAAGTTGCAGATTGGTGGCTAAAACCAAAGGAAGCTGAATAAGCAGCGTCAGCCACTGTGTCAGTTTACAGAGTTAGAACAGAGCTTGAAGGATTGATTTGTTTTCTGATTTATGTTTTAATAAATGATACAAAGATGAAGGAACACCTCATGAACAGAATATATTCATGGAAAAGAGTTCATAAATGGTATTTCTGTCAAAGGGAGAAATGTGAAGAGGTTTCATTAGTACCATGAGAAAAGGACCAGTTAACGTGTAGTCATTATACTAAATTTCATGCAATAGTTTATTTTATTGTTTGTTATTTTCTTGATTATTTGTCCGTGAGGATTTCTGCTGAACCGTTGTATAAAAAGTTAATGTTCACTACGATGATTCCTCTGACCAGGACCAGAAGGTTGCTACAAACCTTCAGAAGAAACTGCGGGTCACGCTCAGAGATGTCCTTGGCCAGGGTTTTGACGGAGGTCCAAACGCTGTCCTCGGAGTCCCAGTCCTGCTGACCCGGAGCTTTGCTCTTATTAACCAGAGAGCAGCACACAGCGTTCAGCAGGAAATACTGAGGAAAAGAAGAAAAACTCTCATTATTCAGGAGTCAGACACAAAACTGAAAATCTGTTATTTGTCATGCTGCAAAACCTTTTTATCTTTCAGCTCCTCTTCAGCCTTTTTATCTCCAGTGTCGAGTTCAGCAAACTCTTCCTGCCCAACGACTGCAGAGGTGTCAAGTTCTTGGCTGCTCGTTTCTGTTTCCAGCACCGGTAACTCCACGATGGGGTCCGCATCGACCTCCTCTTCGTCCTTCTCTTCTTCAGACAAGAAGCAACCTTCATCAGGCTGCTGCTGATTCAGAACAAGTCAGATTTAAGCACAAACATCAGCTAAAGAAACAGTTTTTTCTATTAAAATACAGTGAATGCTAAGCGCTGAATCACTGCTACAAATAGCACAAAGTTATTACAAACTAAATAAAGCAAAAAGCTAGTCAAAAGTAGCAAAAGTCTAACTAAAAGCAGCTAAAGTTTTTCTAAAAAGTAAGTGTAGCAAATGCTTAGGTTAAAAACTGAATGCCGCAAAAGCTTCACTTAAAGCTAAATGGAGCAAAAGCTTGGCTAAAAGCTAGAAGAAGCTACATAGTTTGCAAAAAGTAAAAGTAGCAAAATGACTAGAATCCAAAAGTAGGCTCGTTAAAAGTAACGCCACCTAACTAAAATAATCAGAATTGTAGCTAAAATCTAAATGTAGCAAAAACTTGGGTAAAGGCTAACTGCAGCAAAAGCCTGGCTTAAAGCTAACTGTAGCACAAGCTTTGCTAAAAGCTATAACTATAAGCTAAAAGTAAGCTTGTTGAAAGTTTCAAAACTTAACTAAAAGCAGCATAAGACATAAATGGAGCAAAGAGCTGAGGTAGAGTTCAAAGAAAACTATGGCTCTGAAAGAACTGAATAGATTTTAGTGTATTTCTATGTAAAATGTTTGTAAATAATGGAAAACATTTAAAAACGTATAAAAGTTACAAAAACCAAGTCATTTGGCATTCATCTTTTGGATGAGCTGATCGTTTTGATATACGAACAGCTAAAATAAGGAGTGTGCAGAAGTAGCACGGGGCAATAAAAACAGAGAAACAGAACTTTTTAACAGTTCTAGTCGAGAATATTTTAGCTTACGACTCCTTCTCGCCTTCAGTTTTTTGCTAAAACACAGTTGTGGAGGTTGTTTTAATGTACCATGCTTGTTTCTTCAAACGAGGACTGCATCTCTTCAGAGATCTCCTCGTCGTCATCTTCAATGTCTCCTCCGTCGGCCCGTTTCTGTTCCTCGTTCAGATCAGGAAGCAGGAACGAAGAAGGCCGGGCAAAGCGGTTGAGGAGAGAACCACTGGCCAGGGTGGTGGAGAACAGAGAGTTATCAGGAGCAGACGGGGTCGAGGAGACGCAAAGGCTGGGCGATGCAGTAGCTAGGAGCTTGTTTTGGGTGCTGAGGAGAGGTGAAGCAGTGGAGTAAGAGGCGGAGAGAAGGGAGGATGAGGTGGAGGACAGTTTGGACGGCTGGAGAGAGGAAACGTAGGAAGCCGGCGCCGTGGTGCTTAGGAGCTCAGACGGAGGCTTCATCACGGAGGTCTGGGATAAAAACTTATTCTCTAGACTAGGAGGAGAATAACTGGAGGCCAAGCTTCTCCCACATGAAGGCAGCTGGTGGTGTTGCTCTCCAGTGTGCGTCTGCTGCAAAGTTAGAGCCCTCATCTCTGCAGAGAAACAAAGCAAAGGGTCAAAGGTCAGCAGCAGCAGCTGGATCCTCCTCCTTCAGAGCTCGTTTAACCCTGGACAGCACCGGTGGAGCAGTGAAACAGCATTCCTGTGACTGAGCAAGGGCTGTGCTGTCTGGGTGTGTTGTCCGAAGTCCACAAGGAACAGCAAACAGCAGTTTAGCCTGGGAACAATCACGCCTAAGACATCTAATCGAACGCAGGAGACAAAATGTTGACTTTCAGCAGCTAAACGGTGAAATGAATACAAAGTATTTGGTTAGTTTTAGAGCAGACGTGTTGTTTTAACGTCAAATTCTAGGCAGAAGTTAAAGAACAGATAAATAAAGGCTTAAATAACTTCGCTGAGTCACTAACGGCTAAAAACAAACAAAAAAAATAACTGCTGCTAGCTTACTTGTTAATAAAAAACGAGATGAAAGGGTCCGCTGCAGGGGCGGTGGTTAGCTTTGAACGTCTGACGCTAAAAACTCACCTCAAAAAGCTCAACTTCAGCTTCTTACTCAGACAGGAAGCTCGGGACAGACGTGTCTGTAGATCCGCGACGATTCCGCTCAATGACATACATTAGCTTCAGCCAAGAAGAAGAGAAAAGTGCCAGCTGATGTCCACAAGTTAATGTCCGGGAACTGACGCCGGGCGAGCCTCAGAGCTCCGATTGGTCGCTGCAAATGTGTACGTTTTTACCGTAATACCTAACATACACGCGCACACACGAAAATAAACAATTGCACAATCGAATGGTTGCAGTTAGAAACGATTCCGCCATAAAGGAGAAGATTCTTAACTGAAAACAAAAATGTAAATATCGGTATATCGTTAACTACTTGGTGTTTAAACTGGACCGGCGGCGCAACGGTATTACCGTAAATTACTTTAAAAGTATGGCAATCCGATTAATCATTTAATAGTTAGGTTCTTGAATTTATTTTTTTTCTTTATTGAAAATATAAGAAAAACAGAACACAATATAATAAGGAATACAACAAAAAAACAAGTTCACATTTGACATGATAAAACTAAGCAGAAATGATGAATAAAAATAAAATAAGAAAATGAACAATTTGAGGAAACAGCTAAACAAAAAAATGTTATAAATGCAAGAGGAGTTACAAGTCTTAAAATAAGCTATTAATATACTGGTGTAAAAATTGAGTTTTTGGAATGTTGTAGCGTTTAAGCACTTCCTTAAATAAAATTATTTCATTTAAAAAAATGTTGAACATGGGGGTAATTTTCATAAAAAATTTAGCCAGAAGGATTAAATTGTTATTACCATAATTTAAATATTTATCCCCCGTTAACCAAATTTTATTATAGTAAAAGTGAAAAGTGGAATAGAGCTCTTAGATATGATCCAATTCTGAAAATCTTTCCGCAAAGCATTAATGAATTTGCAATTTATAAAAAAAAGGTGTTCTGCTATATCTGAATTACAGAATGCATAGGAATTGGTATTTATTTAAAATTTATTTTGCAGAAAGTAAATACGTAAATACAGTACTGTACCTACTCCATCCATCAATTATTTAACCCATTCTTCCTTTACATTTTTCAAAAATTTTTAGTGAAAACATAACATGTTCATTTTACAGAAATGAATAATACTCGATGCTAATTCATAAATATGAACTGTTAATTCATAAAAGGAGATGCTGAGTCATAATGTGAGATGTTAATTCAAAAAAAGGAGATGCTGAGTCATAAATAATATAATAATAGTCAGAATGTTGAGATGCTAAGTCATAAACATGAGATGCTAAGCATCTTTGGTTCGCCTTGTTACTGTTTTAAGTGCTTTATAAATAAAGTGGTATGGTATAAACATGAGATGCTAAGCCACAAGCCTGGAATAGACAAAAACCATTATTTTGTAAATATATTTGTAGATTTTTAAAACAAGCGTTTGATACCACTAATCACATACTGCTAGATAAGTTAAGTGAATATGGTATTAGAGGTCTTGCGCACAAATGGGTCTCCAGTTATTTAGAGAACAGTTTGTTTGTATTAAACAATGTCAGTTCTGACTTACATTATATAAACTGTGGAGTACCCCAGGTGTCGGTTATTGGACCAAAACTTTTCATTTTATACAATAATGATCTAGTTCACGTACTTAGACAACTTCAAAGTATTCTTTTTGCAGATGACACCACTTTTTTCTATTCTGTTGAAAATTTGATAAATGTGTTAGAGGTAGTTAAAACTGATTTGAGTAGCATAAAAACATGGTTGAATGTAAATAAATTATAAATGAATGTTGAAAAAACTAACTACATGATGTTAGTTCTGCGATGGAGTTAAACTCAAAGTTGTCTGTTTCTGTTCAGTGCCATGAGATGACTTCTGTTGTGACTTGGTGCTTTATGAATAAACTGAACTTAAACTGAAACTGAACAATAGAGAGAGTCCTACAGATGCGTTGATTGATGTTGATGGGATTGTGATTAAGTGTGACAGAGGTCAAATTCCTGGGTTTTACTTTTGATGAAAATATAAACTGGAAACCACACATCAACAATTTAAAGATAAACATATCAAGGGAAATTGCATTATATAAAGTGAAAGGCTCACTAAATGATGAAGCATTGTTGATGTAAAATTCACTGATCGTTCCCTATTTGACGTATTGTGTTGAAGTTTGGGGGAATACCTGTAAATCGTATACAAATTTTACTTTATTTTGCAAAAAAGAGCGGTTAGAATCCATCCATCCATTATCTTTACCCGCTTATTCCATTTTGGGTCACGGGGGTCGCTGGTGCCCATGTCCAACAATCACTGTGCGAGGGGCGGGGTACACCCTGGACGGGTACCGTAAGAAAATAATAAAATATAATTTTATTTATTTACAGTGGAACATAATAAACGTATAAAACATTTAAATTTAAGGAATTGTATTATTTTGGGGGCAGCACGGTAACACAGTTTGTCAAGCTGCCGCCTCTCTGCAAGAAGGTCACAAGTTCAAATCCCGGCCAGGGCCTTTCTGGGTGTAGTTTGCATGTTCTCTCCGTGCATGCGTGGAATTTGTCCAGGTACTCCGGTTTCCTCTCACAAACCAAAAACATGCATGTTAGGCTGACTGGTAACTCTAAATTGTCTCTACGTGTGAGTGAGTGAGAGAGTGAATGGTTGTTTGTCTCGTTTGTCTCTATGAGACCTGTGATGAACTGGAGACCTGTCCAGGGTGTCCCCCGCCCCTCGCACAGTGATGGACTGGACATGCCCCCCCCCCCCAACCCGAAAAGGAAGAAGCGGGTAAAAGATAATGGATGGATGGATGGATGGATGGATAATTTTCTTTCAAAGTACAATAAAGTATATTGATTCAGTAGAGTGCTGTATACTAACAAATAAAATGTTGTTGTTGTTTTCTTTCCTTTATATACACATATTGCCTGTTGTGTGTTCAAACAAGTGTCTATACGAATGGTTGATTGATGCTTGGTTGCTTGTGGTGTAGTAGATTGACATTTGGGAGAAGGGGTAGACTAACGGTATACAATATTACTCCTTTTCATTCAGAACTTTTGTTTATGTTAACATGTGACATTCATTTTAAACTATAAATGCAATAAATAAATAAATAAGAGCTGAAGTCAGAGACTTGTTTGGGAGCAGATGGCAGATGTTAAGGGCCTTGCTCAAGAACCACCTTCTTTAATCTCTGCACCACAATTCCCCCTAATGATAATTCATAAACATGATAACGTAATTCATAAATATGAGATGCTAATTAATAAATATGAAATGCTAATTCATGAACATGATAACGTAATTCATACATATGAAATGTTAATTCATGAACATGATAATGTAATTCATAAATACGAGATGCTAATTAATAAATATGAAATGCTAATTCATGAACATGAGGTGCTAACTCAAAAATATGAAATTCTAAGTAATACATATGAGATGCTAATTCATAAACATGAAACGTAATTCATAAATATGAGAGGCTAAGTAATAAATATGAGATGCTAATTCATAAACATGAAACGTAATTCATAAATATGAGATGCTAAGTGATAAATATGAGATGCTAATTCATAAACATGAAACGTAATTCATAAATATGAGAGGCTAAGTAATAAATATGAGATGCTAATTCATAAAAATGAAACATAATTCATAAATATGAGATGCTAAGTAATAAATATGAGATGCTAATTCATAAACATGAAACATAATTCATAAATATGAGATGCTAAGTGATAAATATGAGATGCTAATTCATAAACATGAAACATAATTCATAAATATGAGATGCTAATTCATGAAGATGAGATGCTAATTCAAAAATACAAATTTTAAGTAATAAATATGAGATGATAATGATGATTTATGATCATGAGATGGTAATTCACAAATTATGAGATGCTAAGTCAAATAATGAGATGCTAATTCTTAAATATGAATTGTTAAGTCATTTGTATAAGATGTTAAGTTACTTTATTATTTATTTATTATTTATTTTAGCATGCAAAATTATAATTACGGGATGCTAAATCATAATTATGAAATGTTAAACTATAATTTTAGCTTCACCAGATTCATTTGAATCTTCACCAGCATATAATTTTAGCATGCTGATCAATTTTTAAGAGATGTCGTTTTATGAAATGGAGATGCTAAGTTTTTTTTTTTTCAATATCACTTCGTAACTCATTGAACTGCCTTTATTCAACACACTACTAACTAGTGAGAATGTTTAAATATCAAATCTATAAATATAAATGCTGTTGGATTATATGCTACACCGGCCTGCCGTACAGCGCCTGAAAGAGGAAATGAAAATGCTTTATTTCCGCTGCAGCAGGCGACAACGGGCACGTCAAAAACACAAGAAAATGTGGCCAGTAAGGGCAAACTAAGTAAACTAAGGCCGGAGATAGGTCCTCGACTTACAGCTGTCCTCTTCGTAAAGCTTCGCTGCCTGTTTACGTTTGTATTTGAAGGCAGCTGTCGGATATTTGACGGTTTAAGAGTCGTTTCGAGGTTAAGGCGTCCCCTCTTGTTGTGAGCTAGCTGTTAAAATGGGAACAAGAGCAAGTCGCATACAGGAAGACCCGCTCCCCTCACCCTACGCAAAAGAAGGCGCAAAGCGGGATTGTTATCGGCGGACCCGCTGTGCCAGGCCCACCAGCCTCGTTGTCGACTTTTCAGTTAGCTTCGAGGAAACCGAGGCCAACCGGAGCCGATCCGAGGAGGGCAGCGACTCGGACTTGGGCCGGCACGGGGCGAGCGCCGACGGCAGCCCCGCCGACCGTCACCACGGCGGCTTGAGCCAAGCGTCGCCCGCGGACGACGACAACAACAGCGAGGGGAAACCCGAGGAGGACGGCAACGTGAGCCCCGAGGCTCCCGTCGACGCGGAGCGCCAACCCGGGGAGGAGACGGGCCGCACACCTCACCGCACATTTTCCGAGCGGCTCCCCGGGAATCGGCACTCGGCGGCCCGCAGCGTGGGCGCAAGATCCGCCCGGGTCCGCGGCACACACCAACGGCCGGTGTCGGAGGCTTGGATCGGCCTTTACCGCGTCAACAACCGACATGGCAGTAAGTAAACCATATATTTATAAAATTATAGAACATTCTCATTATTTGTGCCGCCGAAATCTACACTTACTTAAATGTTTGTTTTTGTCTTTTACCCACAAGAAGCCATTTTCAACAGACATTTCATGAACGTGTAAAGAAAAAGGTATAAAAATGTGTATAAAAAATGCTTAATTTATGTAATTAGGGCTATCAATCAATCATTTAATATTAAATAATATCTGGTATTGCAAGTATTTTTTTTATAACTGGACTATAACATAAATATGTGGTATCTGTTATGAAGGTGGTGAATTAAATTTGAATTTATTCTCTGCAAAACTATAAAATATTAAAATACATCACAGAAAGGTTATCCTGAGCTGTATGGAATGATGCAGTTTGAAAGGGTAGACTCAAGTAGTTTTCCATATACGTTAATGTTTAATTTTCAAACTGTGGGTCTGCACTCGATGTAAATAAAGTTGAATCCATCAACACCACTCGAGTCACGTGACTGACCTACATCAGGCTGGCTGTAGACGAAAGGCAAGAGCCTTTATAAGTGCAAATAAAAGCTGCTGGGTCGAACCTGGACCGAGCCGACCCGGTTGTAGTTTTAACTTGAGCGTGCCGTTTTAAGTTTTCTTATCCGTTTCCCCAAAATTGGGTTAAAATAACTTCGTTTGTTGAATTACAGCTAACTAAATGTTGAGTGTAAACGAAAAACATAATCTGATTTAGATTATTACAACTTGGTAGCATCAGCTAGTTAGCGCCGAGTCTTGTTATAGTGCAGACTAAAGTAATTAACGAAACTAACCAGGTTAACGATCTTCTGTAAGTTTGTTTTATTTGTTTTCTTCCTAAAGCAGAGGTCAAGCAGGTCAACCTCTGGCTCAAAATGGCGACTGGTCATCGTGGACCCAACCACTGAATCAAAACTTTGGACCCGATATTTAGTCAAACCAACTCAAGCATGCGTGACTTTTGCAAAACAACTTCTAGACCGATACGTTTACTACGTTAAAAATGTTTCTGCGTGCATTATTTCACACGTCGGAGTGTAAACGCGTAGCAAAACGACAACTGTTGGGCTTTTCTTTCTCGTTTGTCGTTAATCTTTCGGTCACTTAAGCTGTTTCTGTTGTAGCCGGCGTCTTTTAACAATTTCTACTTACAAATGATCTTTGTGACCAGCGTTTATGACATCGTCTTTAGTACCTTTTTTTTTTAATTAAAGATTAATTACCGGTAATTGAATCAACTCAGAAGATTAAACTGTTGATAAATCAGCTTTTGTTTAGCCTGCGTTAGGATGCGACGTCATCAAAATATCCCTGAATCAACCCCTTTCTGAAATTCACATGGATTATTTACATTCCAGAACAGATGAGCTCTGTTCCCGTGCTCGCATGCTGACTGAAATCGTCAGAGACGCCATTGTGTGAAGCGCGGTGCGGCGGCGTAAAACTGTAAGTGGTGACACACGAGCTTTTTCACACCGCAGCATCTGTCAGCGATGATCCTCCGGCTTCCTGCGCGACGAAATCCTTGAGCAACCGACCACCTTTATTTTATACACAAAGAGGAACGCGAGTTTGCAAAATAAACAAAAGACGCGCGCTCCGTTTGTGTTGGGTCATCGTGTACGAGCAGATGGTGGCGTAACGTGTTGCTTTGAGCCAAAGCTCTCGTGTGCTGGGTTTCCCGGGCCAGCCCTGTAGCTAGAGTAGGGAATTGGGTCACAACTTCACATGCTGGCAGCAGCTCCTACGTGGAGGAGGAGGGTGGATGTAGGGCAGCAAGGCACCGTTTCTGCTCGGCTGTCACATCCATGAACAGTTCGGTGGTGCCCATCCCAGAGGTCCGAGTCACTGGTTTCACTGAAGCGTGCAGTCAGAGTTATTTCGGGTCGGCTTGACTCGAGGTGACATAATCCGGTCTCATGCATCCACGCTGGGTTTGGAGTGTGTGTAACCTGGTCGCTGCGTGTGCATCATCTATCGTTTATATCTCTGACACCGCTCTTTGCCCTCTGCAGATATCCGCTGTCCCTTCTGCTCAAAGCCCTTCCCGGGCGGTCGGATCGAGGATCACCTGTTGAGCTGCCTCACGTCTCCTCCCCTACCTTACAACAGTAAGCGTCGTGGCGCACAGACGCCCCCGGCAGCTGTTTGTGGTTTATTTTTAAAAGGCTGCTGACGCTCACCGTCGCTCTGTGCGTTTATTCACAGCGGATGTGCTCAGTAAAGACAGCGGGGAGTGCTCGATCTGTTTGGAGGATCTGGTTCAGGGGGAGACCATCGCCCGGCTGGCTTGTCTCTGCGTCTACCACAAGAGGTAAACGAGGTTTATGTGATGCGTTTCGTTAACGAGTAACGGTCGAGCATTTCTTGAAGGTAAAACCACGATCATCTTGTACCGAGAAGGGACAGAGTAGGCTGCAGTCGATTCGCTTGAATTCAGTTTATTTATAAAGCGCCAAGTCACAACAGAAGTCGTCTCAGGGCTCTGAACAGAAACGTTCCCATTTAAAAATAATAAATTAACATTATTTATCTGAGGAGCTTTGAGTTTAACTCCATCGCAGAACTCTCATCTTGAGCAAGCGTGAAGGCGACAGTGGAAAGGAAAAACTCCCTCATGAGGAAGAAACCTTTAGCAGAACCAGACTCAGGACAAGCGACCATCTGCTTCAACCAGCTGGGTTTGAGAGGAACAGATACACAATGGCAGGTCAAGAATCACAAGTTAAGATAGAAAAAATATCAAATGAAAACTATTCAATTTTAACAATTCATTTAAGGAAATTAGGTCAGTTTGTCCTCTAGTAGTCTAAACCTATAGCAGCTTAACAAGCCAACCCTAACTATAGGATTTATCAAAAAGAAAGTCTTAAAACTGGACAACGTGTCAGCCTCACGGACAGAAACTGGAAGTTGGTTCCACAAGAGAGGAGCCTGAGAACAGAAAGATCTTCCTCCCATTCTGCTTTTGGAAACTCTAGGGACCGCGAGTAAACCTGCAGTCTGAGAGCGAAGTGCTCTGTTGGGAAATTATGGAACAATAAGATCTGTAATGTAAGATGGAGCTAGGTTGTTGAGGGCTTTGTAGGTTAGAAGTAAAATTTTGAATTCTGTTTTGAATTTGACAGGGAGCCAGTGTTATTAGCTGTGGCGGCCATCTTGAATTATGTTGACTCTATAGTTGATCAGTTTTCTCTTCTATTGAAACCCATCCAGTGATTTCTCACATATTTTGCTAAACTCAAAACAGCTGACGCCAAAGTTTTAAGCACAGATGTGTTGCGCTCAGGTCCATGCTCAGCTACTGCCACACCACATTTTAGCTCCGAATCTGTAAAACTGGCAAAGTTGTTGCCATTTTTGTTTTCTCTGTCAGTCGGCCGTCCTAAATTGGGTTGAATCGGTTGTAAAACATGAGCATTTTTTAACGTAAGAGTAGAAAATATGTTCTGGTTCGAGACGGGGTTTGTTGTTTTGTTTTTTGTTGAAGTCCCTCGATAAGTCAGCAGTCTGTTGATGTAATGTCCTAAAGTTACAAAGTCCTTTTATCAAAATATTAAAGATAAACTCGTCCGACAAGTTTTAGAAAAAAACGTGTTTTTGCTAACTTCATTTTAAATAAGGCCTCAAGTATTTCCCTATAAAAGCAGAGAGAACATTTGAACAGACGCATCAGAGAGCTGAAAGCTTTAAAAACAGTTTGGAAATGAACGACTGTGAAGTCGTCGAAGAACATTTCCAGCGAAACACCCTTTCACTTGGAAAGCTCGCTGCAACGTTCAACTCTCGGGTTTCACCTGAACTCCCACGAGCCGCTGGGTTCGCATAATTTCAGGGCAGTTTGAGGTTTACAGGGGAACTGTCCCGGAGGAGTCTCTACCTGTTGGTTGCACTTTTACCGGCAATAACTGCGTCATGAAAGCAAAGCAAGCAGACACACGTGCCGTTTGAGTTGGAAATCCCATTTCATCACAGTGGAAAAAGAGCGGAGAAATGGAATCCAGGATGACGGATTCAACCCACGGCTGCTTTCTAGACGGGAGAGTTTTAAGTTTTGTAACAGCTGCGTGTGGGTGTGGTTGTTGGACTGACGTTTTAATCCACCCAGCTGAGAAATCTGGGAAAAGGGAACAAAACTGTAACAGAACATCTGAGAAGAAACACTCACTTTTTCTAGCGATAAAAGCCTCGTGTTTCTGGAGAGCTGCGGTGATTTAATAATCCAACTGTTAGGAAATATTCGTTAATTTGACCGAGGGGTGTCATTTGGCTCGTAAAATGAGTTTGCAAACGAAAGTAAGAAATTGTTGGCGCGTGAATTTTTTAAGCATTAAAAAAAAAAAAAAAGAAGTGGGACGAAGTTCAGTTGTTCCGCTTTGACGCTTCAACTTTTAAACGTTGGCACCATTCACTGATTTTATTTATTTTAGGGGTGCACAATAGTGGATTTTTGGCCGATATCCGATACCAATACTGATATTCCCCCCCCAGACCTACTTACAGAGACTGCATAGCTTTCTCTGCTGTGGAATTAAAATACATTATTCTGCACGGTCTTTGTCAGTTTGGCCCGCTAACAAATGCAGATACCCAAAAGGGGCTGAACATGATGCAACACTTCAACTTGGATTATGTTTAATGTCAAATTTCTTCGTGACATTTACTCTCGAACACAACGACCACACTCGAACAGCGCAAATTTGTAAATTTTCACAAATCTAAACTCAACATGTTCACAATGACAAGTGAAAAGCACATAAGTAGTAGTGTGTTAATTAGGGGTGCACCGATTTATCGGCCCTGATTTCCTTAATTTTGGTAAATCGGAAATCGGCCGATACTCGCACGAGAAACCGATTTTACCGATTTTTTTTTGTTTGTTTTAACAACAATTGTCTGAACTTCGTTTATATTTCAGAGCACTACCTCATGGCCAGTTAAAACAAGTTTGTATTGTTTCTAGGATATTGTTCAAGGGTATGTTTTTCAACAAAATATTATTGAAACATTGAAGGTGCATTGTGACCTTTTAACTCTTTTGACAGCGTCGCTTATTAAACGAAATCTGTATCGGCCAAAATCGGAATCGGCAGTTCAGACTTTTTAGAAATCGGCGATTGGCCAGAAAACTGCAATCGGTGCACCCCTTGTATTAATAGATATACTTCACAGTTTCTTAAGTTTAAAAATAAACTTATAACGGAAGCCTTTTATATCGGTGAGTTATTTTAATGGAATGGTCGATGTCCGATATTTAACTTTATCGCTAATATCGGCCGATACCGATACATGCCGATAATATCGTGCATCCCTAATTTGTTTCTTACATGACAAAACAAGTGTCTGCGTCTTGTTTTGGTGTGATCCAAAGCCAACAGAAACGTGTGCACATCACACGTCTGATTCCTGAAAAGCCAGCAAGTCTTTAGATGTACTCACTGTCACCTGAAGTGATCACATGACCTGTTTCTATAGATTAAATCCTGTATTAATGAGGACGTGTGTCTGTTTTTGTGTCCTCCCCGTCTTCCTGCAGCTGCATTGATTCCTGGTCCAAGGTGAAGCCCTGCTGCCCCGAGCATCCCTTTGATTGACTCGCAGGTCAGCCCGTTGACCAACTCGACTCAGGTACGTGCACGTTTCTTTGGCGGATGCAGCGATGTTGACACAGAAGAGGAAGGAAACCGATGCATTTAATTCATGTAGAAATTCATGTGGCATAATCAGCATTTAACTTTAGTAAATGATTTGAAACTTTACAAAAATAGTTTTTCCGAAGATTTCACTTACCAAAAGAAGCTGAAGAACTTTTCGAGTCCATTAGCGTCCGCAAAAGTTCATATTTATCAAAAATATAACCCATCCAGTCAAAACAATTAGCCACATTTTCCTGCAAGTTTCATGTTATTTTAAACTCACTTCTTTTTTCTTATTCGTATTTTCCAAACTGTACATCTTTGACTTCACTTCTTGCGTCTTAGTTCCTCCCATCAGAGGACGAGAGGAGCAGAGATAGGAGGAGGTGATTAATATTGAACAAACTGGGACATGCTTTATTTGGAGATGTCGGTTTTAAAACCAGATAATTAAAACGGCGACGACACAAACGCAGCTGCATCGTCTAATCGTCGTTTTATCGCAGTAAACCACTTTGTTAGATAAGATCCGACAACATACTAGATACTTTTCTTTTAGTTTGAGTTTCCTGATGTTTTTAATGTTCTCCTTTAGAAGCCAAAGTCTGAATCATCGCGTCTAAACACAAATGTGAGCAGAAACGTACAAAAAGGAGCAGCTCAAAGTGAACCGCCTTGCCCAAAGACACCGAGGCTTTTGGGGAAAACAAGGATTAGCAGAAAAACCTGCTCCACCGTCTGAGTCACGCTTGTTTTGTGTGTTTTTGTTCAAACTCAAATGGTCGTTTGCGAACGCGTCTCTCAGATGTAGACGGTGAGTTTCCAACCCCAAAAAGTTGGGACGTGTAAAATGTAAATAAAACAGAATCCAACAATTTGCTTCTCTCTTAAATCCATATTTTATTTACAATGGAGCATAATAAACATATATAAAATGTTTAAATTTAAGAAATTGTGTTATTTTTGGGGCGGCGCGGTAACGCAGTTTTGTCGAGCTGCCGCCACTCAGCGAGAAGGTCGCAAGTTCAAATCCTGGCCGGGGGCCTTTCTGGGTGGAGTTTGCATGTTCTCTCCGTGCATGCGTGGAATTTGTCCGGATACTCCGGTTTCCTCTCACAAACCAAAAACATGCACGTTAGGCTGACTGGTGACTCTAAATTGTCCCTAGGTGTGAATGAGAGCGTGAATGGTTGTTTGTCTCCGTGTGTCCCTGTGATGGACTGGAGACCTGTCCAGGGTGTCCCCCCGCCTCTCGCACAGTGATGGCTGGACATGGGCACCAGTGATCCCCGCGACCTAAGAAGGAAATAGGAGTAGGAAACAGCTGGCGGAGCATCTTAAAACTAATTGGGTTAATTATAAACAGGCCAGTAAGAGGACTGGTTATAAAAAGATCATTGTGGAGTGGCTGAGGCTTTAAGAAGTAAAGATGGGCAGAGGTTCACCTATCTGCAAAAATCGACATTTAAAAATTGTAGAACAACTTCAGAATAATTTTCCTCAATGGGAAGACTTAAAATATCCCATCATGTACAGTTCATAATGTAAAAAGATAAATCTACAAATCATTGTAATCACAGTTAAATTAAAGCTGTATTATACAACAAGAAGACAGATGTGAACACCATCCAGCAACACTCATCTTCTTTGGACCAAAGCTCGTTTCAAATGGACTGAGACAAAGTGGAGAACTGTTCAGTGGTGAGACTAAACAAAATGTAATCTTCTTTTTGAAAACCTCAAACAAAACATCATCAGGACACAGTTCAAACGCCTGCTTCTCTCTTGGTATGTAGGTGCATTAATGCGTTTGGCCTGAGCAGCCTACGCATTTCTTCTATAAAGACACGAACACTACAGAAAAGTATATTCATGTTTTAGAAAAGCGTGCTCCCATCTGAACAATTAATTGGATTTGCAATAATATCGCGATATGATGAAACAAAGGCTGCAATTTGACTGGTCACGTGATCTGGTCACGTGACTTGCGAGTGAGCGGAGCGGAGCACAATGGCGTCCGGCTCGACAGAAGCTACATCTGAAAGTTTGGTACCAAAGAGCGGACATTGAAAAATAATCTCACATTAAATCGCAATATTGAGTTTTTAAAAAAATCGCAATTAGAATATTTTCCAAACTCGTTCAGCCCTATCCCATACAAACGTCTAAACCACAGACTGGATCCATTACAACAGCAGGAGCTGGTTCCGTCTGCAGTCCAGACCTCTCATCAGCTGAAAACATTTGGGCCATCACGAAACCAAAAAGCCCAGCTCAGACTCAGAACTGCTGACCAGCTAGAATCCTCCATGGGACAAAAATGGGACCACGCTCTCCTCAGATCCTGGACGTTAGACGACGACTGGATGCTTCGGACCCGGTCCAAACTTTCTTGCAATGTGTTGCCGCCGTCAAATTAAAAATGACCCCCCCCCCACCGGGTCATAAAACTTTTACAATGTTTTAATTAAAACACTCGATGTGTTTTGTTGTGAATAAAAACATTCGGTGAATTCTGTTTCATGTCCCCGACTCGTTTCCAGTCGGGGCTGTGAAGGGTTAACAGAATTTGAGTAGCAAGTGAAGCAAATCCTGAATTTAGCGGCGCATACTGCACATAGCCCGAGTAAAGTTGAAAAACAAGAAAAGTCCCCCGTGAAGTTGGCTCGTTCGTCTCGTTCAGGCCAAAGGAGCAGTGGGAGGTTTGCACGCAGGTAATGGGACGGCGTGGACTCCGTGTCCGATACGAGCTCCGTGAAACGCGTCTGCATTTAAAGCAACGTTCAACTGAATCGTTCTGGAGGTGTTGCCACAACCACTTGTTTTTGTCTCGTGCTTTTCACTGTATTTTTGTCTAATCGTGTTGTTTGTTTTTGTTCTTCTTCCAGGAGACTACACTGATTCCCAATAAAATTACAATAAAAGCGTGTATTTGAACGAGCGGAAGCCCACCGTCCCTCTCAGACACAATCCCAAGAGGAAGCTGCGGTCGGCGAGATCCGACACTTTCCCTTTGGGTCCATTTATTTGAACTCAAATCTGCCAAACGCCACCAGTTTTAAAATATATATATAAATAAATATAAACGGCTGCTCTGCTTTGATGTTTTTGAGACTCTTGTCGGACCAGAAGTGCCGGGGTTCCCCGTCTCCTCCGTGGATTGAAAGAGGAGCTTTCACAACGATGGAACTCGACCCCGAAACTTGGCGAGGAGGAGGTTTCTGTGACCGGCGCCTCTCGTGTGTATTTTTGCGTCTCTGAATGGGGGTGGCTCTTTTTTTTAATCAAGTGTTCTTTTTTTTTTTTTTTTTTTTGGCATTAAAAAGTGTTCCACACGTTGGACGAATGTTTCCCGGTTGTTCTCCCGGATGATCCGACCTCGCACCGAAAGCGCGAACTGTCTCCACGATCCTCCGCTGAGACGACGCTTCCGGCTGTTTTTGGTGAAATGGGGAGGCCGCCGTTTCTCCGCTTTCTGCTTTGTTACCTGTAAACATTTCAGGGGAAGTTTGGGGCCTTTTTAAAAAAAAAAAAAAAAAAATTACTTTTCTTTAAAGTTGGTCCGTTTTTCCATAAGTGGTTGGTTCGCGTGGAGTTTGCTGCTACTTGGTGAGTGTTTCTGGAAAATGGCAGGTGTGTCGTAGCATCGCGTTGGCGTCAACTGGAGCACCTTTTTGTCTTGCTCCCCCCTCCCCATAAGGTCTGGGATGATGTGTGCCAAGACGATGAGCAGGAACTGAACACGTGAGCACGACTATTTGATGAAGTGTGCGTGTTTACTGTAAATTGCTAAAGCGTCTGCCTGGTCAAGCGGGTAAATTATTTTTTTTTTTCAACCACTTTCATGTCGGGGAGTGTCCTCCTACGTGTAGACTTTGGTACTTTGAATGCAGTTTTGGTTTTAGCCCCCCCTCCTCCCTTTCAAACACTTTTTGTTTTGTTTTTTTGACCAGGCCCTGAGCTGAGTGACAGTTTGGGCAGAAATAAAAGGACGGACGAACCGAGGGATGTATTTTGGGGGCATGTTTACACCCAGTGGCATCTGCCTCTTTCCACAACACTGGAGGCTACGAACAGCTGATGGTTAATTATTACATAAGCAGCCCCCCCCCCCCTTTCTCCTCCCCTCTGTCTTTTCATTTTAAGGATTGTAGCTATGACATCATCACACTTTTCATGGTTTTTGCTGAAAAACTTTCCTTTTGCCTTTTTTTTTTCTGCGTGCTGGTTGCCTTTGTTGGCGATGGGGCTCCTGCGTTCGCTTTTAAAGGGCTGAACCGAGGCGAGAGCCCAGCACGGTCTGCCCCCGGCGCAGGGGGTGCACGGGCCAGCGGAAAGAACAAAAACATGAACTTGTTACGTTTCTGTGTTAAACTGAGTGCAGCAGCGATCGGTTTGTTCACCACAGGCTGTTTTTATTTTCTACTGGTCCTTGTTGCTCTGCAGTCTGAGGTGCTACAACACGACCCTCCACTAGTGGGAAGTCCTGTGCATGTTTATCATATTATATAAATATATATACAGGAGATAAATACTTTAAAAGAAAAAAAAGCCAAAAGTCTGTCTGTGCATTAGCGTGAGAGCGTGCAGAAGACGAGGTGCATTGATCATTTGGTGTTACGTTTGTTGTGGTGATGAGTTATGATGTTGTACTTTTTGGCTGGGGAGGGGTGTTCATGCCTTTTTTTTAAGGGGTGGGTGATTTTATTTTATTTTTTTGGAGGTTGGGTTGTCGACAAAGACAAAAGACGATCCTAAAACCCCACGTTATTACTTACTTTGTTGCCCTCCCTAAGCTGTGGTGCAGTACCTCAGTTTTCTTTACCGATGCTAAACGCTGCGTGTGAACCAGCTCCTCCGAACGAGGACGGTGTTTTGTAGAAAACGTCCCTCAGATATTGGTGTTTGAACCGCACGGCTCCGTGTCTGAGCGTGCACTTTAAGGCCAACGTATTGGATGAGATCAACCACAGATGGACCCCCACCCCACCCCCCTCCAATACATAAATAATCTGCCTCGACTCTGGTATTAAAAACAAATTGAGTTTTATTTATTAAATTGTAAATATGTAATGCAATCCATGAAAATGGCTCGGTCCTCGTCTGTTCAATATACTGTTTCTAAGCGCTGATCTTTTGTATGTCTCAGAAATTGTTTTTATATGTATTTTTTACAATAAATACGTGTGAGAGATGTTCTGTCCATGTCTGCTTTGGATTCAAGGTTCTTTATTTGTCATACACATCACATGTGGTACATGTGGTGGAACAAAAATTGTGTACACACGGTCCCACCCAGTTACAGCCAACAAAAGTATAAAACGTAGAAGAAAAACGGTCATAAGATTTAAGATATGAACTAAGAAAAACGTTAAACTAAAAATACACTAAGCACTAATAGCAAAACGATAAACACAATACGCCGAACAGCAGCACGAACATGAGTCTGTGTGAGCAGATGAGCATGCACGAACACAGCAACATGAAACCGATCAGCAGCATGAAACAGATCAGCAGCAGCATGATGTGAACCTCCTTCCTGAGGGGAGCGGGGCAACAAGTGTGTGTGTGCTGGGTGAGTGTGGTCCTTCATGATGCAGGTGGCTCTTCCTGCATCTGGAGGTGTAGATGTCTGTGATGGTGGGGAGGCTGACCTTGACTTTGTTTGCTACGTCTGCGTGTTCGATGTTTGAGATTTTTTTCCCTTCGGTTAAACGTTTAATAACACGAGCCTTGTCGAGTTTGTTTTTAAACGGTAGAAAACATTTTATATTGCGTAACCGAATTGATTTTGCAGAAATGTTCAACTTTAAGCTATTTAAAAAAAAATAATAATCTTGTTGGTTTTATGTTTGAAAAGGAAATAAAAGAAACTTTTAATTTAAATTTCTAAATATATAATTCAAAGTAATTTCCACACACTTCAGTCTTTGCTCCCATTTTTCATGAGCTGAACTCAAAGAGTTTTTAAACGTACACAAACGGCCTTTTTCTCTCAAATATTGTCCACAGATCTGTTACTGAGCACGTGTTTCTCTTGTGCCAAGATAATTCATCCACCTCACAGGTGTTGAGTATCAAGATTAGAAGCATGCTTACTGCACAGGTGTGCCACAATAAAATGTGCATTTTTATCACATGAAGCCACAGATGTTTGAGGGAGCGTGCAATAATAACGTTGACTGCAGGAATGTCCACCAGAGCTGTTGCTCATGAATTTAATGTTCTTTTCTCTACCATAAACCTTCTCCAAAGGGATTTCAGAGCAATAGATCCAACTGGCCTCACAACCATAGACCATGTAATCACACCAGCCCAGGACCTCCACATCCAGCATCTTCACCTCCAAGATCATCTGAGACCGGGACAGCTGCTGCAACACTTGGTTTACATGTTCAGTGTACATTAAAGTTTTAATTGTAAAACGACTCCATCAATTCAAACGTACATTTTAACAACTGGAAAGTAAAAGTATTAGCAGTTCTTATGTTGGCATTTCTTGAAAATAAGCTGTATTTTCAAGATACGTGCTCAAATGTGTGTCCCCTGAATGTGTAAAGGTCCGTTTTGAAAGTGGCATTAGACTGGTCTCTTTGAATCGGCAGAATGTGTTTTTGTCTGAATGCAAACGTCAACCAAGTCGTGGAGCGTTCAAGTTGCTTTGAACTGCAAAACCAAAGCGCTACGTCCTCGGCGAGATCTATGTTCCAGTTTCAGCCACACGTTGACCTTTTGATGAGCCGTTTCCTCTTCTGTGCTCCGCGTCGAGACTAAACTTTCATTTTTGACCTGCGGCCCAGCACAGACGGGAAAGGAACTACTGGTTTGCGTTTGATAGATTCATTTTTTTTAATGCTTCAAACACAGTTTCTACAATAAACGTAACTGGTCAGGCAGTAGATGTATGTTAACCTTGTGAGCTGGATAAGTTGAACAATAAGCAGCGGGTCAACTTCCTTCTTGATGTGTGGCAGCATCTAGGCATAAGAAGGTTGATCGAAAACTGCCATGTCAAAATCTAACATGAGCGCCTTTCACTATGCTTTATAGGTTTTATATCTCTTAAAGTACAGTTTTCTCAAATGATTTGGGTAATCAAAGATTAATCTATGGTGGCCAAGGCCACCATTGCCCCCCCCCCCCCTGGCTCCTCAACTGCACTTGGCGGTGGATAAAATTGTCCCCTGCCAGGAGCCGTCACTCAACTCCACGTAGGACAAGAAATAAAAACCCACCTCTGTTCTTAGACACGATGTAACCCCAATCCATCTAGTGCCAAAAACATTAAGGTTCACTTGCATCCAGTCAAAAAAACATTTATCCCAAAAACTACATTTACTATTCATATTTTTTAGCGACGGGGACATCGGCTTGTGTAGAAATTGTGTTTAAAAAAACAGCAAACATTCCTCAGTTTTGTTTACGACTAAATTCAACGAGCATTTACGGAAATTCCCCGTTAAAGCTCTGAATATCTTGGCACAGCTCATCTGATGATCTTAGCCCCAGCTTTTGCTTCAACGCTCTCCATCGCTCGATTTCCTCGCTGCCTCCACTTCTGTCAACTCTCGTTCTCACAGCTTTTAGTTGCCGTTTCTTTCACAAAGGCCCGATTCACGGCTGAATCGGATTCTGTTGGTTTCCCTCAGACTCTGTTCACGCCCGGGATTATTTCACCGACCAAACGTCCATCGAGACTGTCCGAAGTGGACTTGTTGTCCGAATGTAAACAAACGACTTGTTATTGTTGGCAACAAAACTTTATTTAGCTGATTTCACCTATTTACAATTCATTTGGTAGACTTATATTGTTATTTTTTATTGATAGATGGCACATGTAGAGATAAAATTTAAACAACAAAAATCTGTGTGTTTGGCATCTTGGTTTTAAGTAGATATAAATTAATCTGTAAAACACGCTCATGTTTTGACACTTTAACTAAAAATGCTACATTTTAATAAGAAAAAAGCCTTAAAATCTGTTTTCAGCTGAAGGTTGGGTTTACTTCTGTAAACAAAATATTTAAAAAATGACAAACATCCTAAATCTACTTAAAAATTCTTAAACGTTTCCCTTTTTTCATTCAATATAAATGATTTAAACTGTATTTTTGTTTAATTTTCTGTTTAGAATGAGGACAAAAACATGATGTGTAAACATTTTCTGGATGTTGGCAGTCATAAACACCAACATGTCCAGTCAGAAATCAAATTAAACAATAACTTGAGGCCCTCACTGAACATTTTTACACGCTGGGTAAAGTGCATTTCACGGAGTAGACAGACAGATTAGCTGTGGAGGTCGAAGTGAAACTGATCTCAGGAGTTCGGTCTTGATTTGGTCCAGAGAGGCCATTTTTAAATATAAAAACAAACACTGCTTATTTTAAATATCAAGGAAGAACAAGAAGTGAATCGTTTAAACGTTTTCAGTTTATTTGATCTGATTCTTTAGAAATAAACGGATGTTAATGATCTGAGAAATCTCAATTAGTGCAGAAAAACAATTACTAGTTCATCCAAACATGTTCAAGTATAAAAACTAACTACAGTAAAACAGAAGTCACATTTTATGTTTTATATTCCTTAGACGTTTTGTTTAATGTAAAAAATTGAGCTAAATGCTAAAATTACAAAAATGCTAGTTAGAAATTTAAAGTTACAAAACGCTAGGTAAAAGCTAAAGGTAGCAATAATCAAGCTAAAAATATCAAACTGTTAGCTAAATGCTAAAAGTGGCAGAATAGCTGCTAAAGCTAAAACTAGCAAAAGGCAAGCTAAATGTAGCAAAAATGTTTAAAAACTAGAAGAGGTAGCAATAGGCTATCCATGCAGCTCAAAAGAATAGCTATAAGCTAAAAGTGACAGAACAGAGGCTAAAGGTAAGCAAAGACTAGCTAAAATGGCAAAAGACTAGCTAAAAGTATCAAAAGCTTGCTGAAGGCTGCAAAAGACAAGCTAAACCTATCAAAAGGCCTGCTTCAAGCTCAATGTAGCAGAACAGTAGCTTAAAATTGCTAAAGGCTAACTAAATGTGGCAAAAAAAATAAAAGCTGAAAATAAAGACTATACGCTGAAGGTTTCAAAATGCTAACTAGAAATTAAACAAAGCAAAAGACTGGGTAACAGCTGAAATGTCTAGCAAAGTATCAAAATGTTAGTTAAAAGGAGCAAAAGGCAAGCTAAATGTAGCAAAAATGACTAAAAGCTAGAGGT